GGACTCCGAAGAGGATACGTCTTGGCTGGATCCACGCCAGCGTCGGAAGGACAAGCGTGCGCAGCAGCGGACACGCCGTGCCAGATAGTTCAGCTGAGTCACTGGGCCACACCCCACTGGCTATATAAGCAAGGGGTGTGGCGTGTGAAACTTTTGTGACGGACAATTTTTGCTGGATATTCTGTTGCAAGCACTCTGGTAAGTTATCTTGGATTTATCTCTGTTTGCTGTGCATTATCAGTAAAGGCTTGGCAGGCAGCTACGAAGTTGCTGCCAAGAATTCATTTGTCTTTGGCTGTGCCGAGCAGTTTTTCAGGCCTCGGCTGACTGGTTGGGGTGTGTGGGTCGGACGGGGGACAGAACACTCATAGCCCCAAATGTGCAGTGGGTGCTTACTCACTAATAGTTTTTTCCTCTCCACTGAGTGTAAATGCAAACATTAATTTCCTTCTTGCTAATTATTCTAGCATTGGAAGAATATTCCAAAGGGTGGGGGAGTGGAAAAAAAGACTATTAGATTTGCCATTTTACTGGGCTTCTTTGTGTGTGAACATTGTTCGCTGTTGGGACTTGCCCCATTGTTTGGAGCCATATCCCTCTGATGCCGTAAAGCAATGAAAAGCTGAAGTAAAATCATAAGCACAGTTGCAGTCATGTGATTTGTCATTTAGCGAGCACTTCATGTAATGGACAAGCTGTTTATCCTAACTGCAGTTGCTAAATGAGGATTACCTGCATTTGATAAGTTGCTTTAAAAGTTTATAGAAAAAGAAAAACAATACCTTTTTCTATATACTTGGAACAAAAATATATTTAGGAATACTACTGCTGATCACATTGCTTAGCCCTTGAATAATTGTGTCAGCATTGTTTTCTATCATTTAAAAAATCAAGGTAAGGACCAGGTTACGGCAAGATTGTCTATGTTGTTGCTAAATTGGCACTGACATGATAGAACATAATGAATCAATTTACCTTTCTAATTAGATGGTTTTCTGTATCTGCTACATAAATAATATTGTTCTTTATGGCAACTCCTTGTGGAGAATTGAATGATGCTTCTGAAAAATTTCCATCATTTCTTCCTCTGTCTGATCCTTGAGCAAAAATAACATCAAACAAGAATATAACTTTTGCTAGAGGTCAACAATGTATACACAGTCATGTCAGATATAGGATGCAAAGGATTTTATATTATATTAATAAGAATAGCAGTACAGCTGTGGGTCTAATCAAATCAAATTTAATAAATATATTTAATATATTTCCACAGAAAACTGGATTGTCTTACAAAAGTAGAATGTTTACATTTATACAATGCCTGGTAATATAATCTGTTAATCTTTAAACATTAATAGACAAACACATTCATTGTATCTACAATAATTTCCTTTAAAGATTCAGCTTTCAAAACAAGGAATTGTATAAGTGCAATGCAAAATGGAATGGAATGCCTAGGAAAACATGCAGCCAGCTATATGCTAGAATAAGTAATTGAATTTCATAGATTCTACTGTTCACATTATTTGCAGTATACCAGTTTCAAATCTGAAAAATGTGGTATCATTTCCATGATTTTGTGTGGTTATTAGATCTCAGAATTAGATAATCATTTATTTGAAGCTCAATCCATATACATTCAAAGAAGCATTTTATAGGACTGGAAACTAATTTTAAAATAGTTTATTATGCAATATTAAAGAGTTGTATGAGACAGAATTCAGGGTTTGCCATGAGAGCTGTCAAGATGAAATGCAAGGTTTTAAAATAATTATTTTATTTCAATCATTAATCAACAAAACAAAACAATAAAGTATAAGGTTTTAAAATATATTTAGATGACCCTTACCTCCAATGATGTGCAGAATGTGACCATTTTTTTTCACAACCAAAATCCTATGATGTCCAGTATCTGCTATTACCAATGTGTTTTCGGAACTATCTACTGCAATTTTCCCAGGGAACAGCAAAGGTGAAGAAGACAAAGAGTCTCTATATAGGTGTGTTCTAATTCTATTACTATTAATTTGTCCTTGTTCCTTGTAGTATTTTAAGGCTATAGTTGTAAATAGAAATAGTTTGTCCTTGTGCCCTTCGCCAATCAGACTGAACAAGATATTGCCACGAGGTCCAACAATTACCAAGGTTGGCCAACAAGACACTTCTAGCTCATGCCAGAGGGTTGCATTAACATCATTTACCACAGGATGAGTGATGTTATATCTAAGAACAGCACTTTTGATGTTATCCAAAACTTTTTCATTTGGAAATTTTGCTGAGTGAACACCTATAATAAGGACACCATCTGAAAGCATAGATTAAGAAACAATGAGATTTATGGCATTAACAATGAAACATTTAAACATCATATACACAAAGCCACATTCAATAAACCTAGTTGGAATGCTGCTCTGTTCTGGGATAAGATAAATAGTTATACTATGCATGTTGTCTTCAGAAAGAGTGAACATGTAGAACTTCACTGTAAAAATATATAAGACTGTAATACCAGTAGTATAAAATGTGGTAGATCAAAATGGATCAAAATGCAGTTCTTCCCTGTTGGACTGACTCCTCTAATTCTAATAGATAACTTTTCCTCACCCTGGAAACAAGATAATATAGCATAAGCTGACTTCATATGGGTTATCTCTACTACAGTATTCTTAATATGTTATAATCAAAGTAAGCAATTAATTATTCAAAGAATGAGGGACATGGAATTCCAGATGGAAATTAATAGGCTATTCCAATATAATAGAATTTAAAGCTAGACTCGACATATTTATATCTGCATTTCTATAAGGCAGATAGAGTAAAGTCTAGATAGAGTCCCTGTAGCTAAGCGTATTTGCCCATGTGGGGATAGGGACTGTAATTTTCTCAGACTTATTATTACATTGTAAATTGTATAGGGTCAACCTACATTTGTAAATGGAAAGGCAAAACTGTCCATTTTTTCATATGAGTCATCATTTAGAAGTATATGAAAATATTCTTTAGAATGCTGTAGACTATTTAGGAGAGGGTAATACCACTTTGATATTTTCATATGAACTGTCAAGAAAGGCATCCAATACTTTAGAATAAATTTCTTGAGTTAAATTGACTTATAACACCATTTTATCTAGCTTAATGCTGTCTATCTTGAAGGCAATGAAAACTTTAAGTTTCATACACAAGTTTTTTCTACTCATACTGACAAATTAAACATGGTGTTTTTGCATGTAAAACAAAGAGCTTCCCAATGGTATTCACAGAGGTTGGTGGTCTCAAAAGAGCAAGATGAAAGTATTCTCTTCAAAGTGGTACCTTTGTTGTATATTTTGATGTTGCATACACATACCAAGGAATAGGGCCATAACTGTAATGCCTCAGCTGCCATCCTGCCCCACCCTGCCTCTCAAACCCATTGCTCTTATTACTGAGCTATCACTTTTCCCTTCATCACAGAAACAGTACTGTAGTGACGTTCAGTGAGATGAACAATGAAATCTATAGAAACAGACTTTTGTAATGGAAACAAAAGACAAATTGACTTAGCCAAGATTTGGCGCCTATAATTGTTTTAGTTCTGTTTAATTATAATTCTGGTTTTTTAAATCTTTATTTTTATAATTGCTAACTGCCTCAAATAATTTGGAAGGAAAACCTGGATGTATTTCTAACAAACAAATGTATCTTTTCTTGCTTTTTCTTTAAATATGTAACAGCACTTAGGGTTGGATTCCCCCCCCCCCCCAACATATTCTATGGGTAATGCAGAAGAGATCAAGGACTGTCCTAACAGATTTCTAAAATTCATAATAAAACATTAAAATGAGAAAGCCCAAACCTACCGCATCAGCATCAAGAAACCTCAATTAAGAGAAAGCAACAAATAAAACTTGGAGTCTGGCTTAAACACTGAACATATTATAACACACCTTTATGGTGATTAACACACTGGACAGCTTATACAATCAACTTCAAAATGACCCCCTACTGTACTTTTTTAAATTAAATTTTGCAAACCAGAAGACTGGATAGCAAAACTGGACAGTTCAGCGGGATGTCTGAGG